TCCCCCCGAGAACCACGTGATCCCTTGAAAGTCTTCCGACCCTCCCCTCCCCCACCTTCCAGGCGATAAATTATGACTAGTCTCTTCGCTCGGAAAAGTGTTCACGTGTTCACTTTGTGTAATTCCGAGGCCAGTTCTTTTTAAAACAGTATTAATTACCACTAATGCTTCCGACTAATCTCAACGACTCCCCACCGCTAGGACAGACGTCCTCGCAGAAATTACACCCAGCACACTTAACGCGTGATGGAAAATCTTGACAATGATGTGTAAGGCACGCAAAGTTCACACCATAAGCTGAATTTATCAAAATTATTTCTCCGCCTCTTACCGCCTTAAATTGATTGTAGGAGTTGGGAAAGAGATATGTATATGTATTTAAAACTTTTTGCTACCAGTATGCGGATTTATACTTTTAGAAAATATACGCCGCGGCTTGCAGTTGTCACGTGAATACCTTTCGTGACATTATTGTCACGCAGAACCATAAAAACATACCTCAAGATCAACGTCTTACGATGCTGTCTACAACTTGGACCTCGATTTTAATGTTTATATCTTTTGTCCACAGCTCATCTTCTCGCTCATTCACGATTGACTATGAAAATGACGTTTTTCTTAAGGATGGAGAACCATTCCGATACATTTCGGGAAGTTTTCACTACTTTCGCGTTGCAGAGTTTTACTGGAAGGATCGATTGGCAAAAATGAAAGCCGCGGGTCTAAATACCTTGCAAACGTGAGTGAAAAACATATTTGTTGGTGACTTTAAGTTTAAAAGTGAATTACTTGTCCCATATAATCCAGACCAAGAGAGTTTCATCGCAAGGTCAAAAATTGCCTCTGGTTTGTCTTAAATTAAACAGCTTGGCGAAGATACATGTGATTGTCAGTACAAATTATATTAGCCCTATCTTGATCCTTTTCTCAACGATTTTTTGTTGCTGTAGAAGCTGAAATATTCGTGGTCTTCGCCAGGCGTTGTTCGCTGAGAGATTCTTGTCACAATCCCCTGCATGGGAATCTGAAATGTTTACGTTTGCGAAGTTAGTAAATACACATGTTAATGATAAAACCTGCTTCGTGATTTATGTAATAGATAACAACTATATATATATATATATATATATATATTGCTTGAGCTAAGATCGAACCAGCTTTTTGGAAACAAAATATCAGGGTAAAAGAGTTTCTTGCATAACTCCACATGAACGGCCACTTAATTTTACGTCTATTTGCTTAGTGGATTCCTCTTCACTTTGTTTGTCACCCTTCTGGTGGTCTAGTGTTTGTTAAACCAAAAACATGAATGGTACCCTATCTGCTCCTTTTCAAGTCACACAATTCATTCTTCATCAATAAATTATCAGTCAAATGAGGGCTTAATTTTGTGTGTTGATTCATAATTTCTAAATCTTCAAGGCCGAGAAGCACCATTTATAGTTTTCACATACCATATTCAGAAAGATTCTGTAAATTTTCAGATGAGTTGACCTGGAGGAAAAAAAAATGACACCATGAAGCTTTCATGGTCATTTCTAATTGCTGTCATTTTACTGGCAACAATATTTACAGGCACAGCAAGGAAATCTAAAAAAAGGAAAAAGTGTACCCTAAGGAGAAGTTTTAAAATTGACTCTAAGGGGGACCAGTTTCTCAAGGATGGAAAGCCATTTAGATTTATCTCTGGGGATATGCACTATTTTCGCATCACAAGATGCCATTGGAGGGATAGATTTACTAAGATCAAATATGCTGGCTTGAATGCTGTAGCAACGTGAGAGTTGTTGTGTTTATAAACGGTTAAATGTAAATTACAAGTAGAGCATGATTTTCATCATCGACCACATCACAGGTGGATAGAATTTAGTTTCTAGGAAGTTTTGTTAAAAGAGAAAAGGCAATGTCATGAAGATTTTATTCATCAATTTCATTTTCTGTTATATTTATGGTAGCACTATCATTGATGTATATTTCAGTAACAACAAAAAAACAATCATTTTCTATGAAAGACAAGTCCTATGATTTCTCACTCAAAGTTGCAGTTAACTGTGACAAAAAAATCATATTTTTAACTTGTTATTTTAATAACTGAATGTTTACAGGTATGTTGCTTGGAATATGCATGAAGCTCAAGAAGGAAAGTATGATTTTGAAGGAAACAATGATTTGGTTGGTTTCATTCAGATGGCTCAATCTGTTGGACTTCTAGTCATTGTCAGAGCAGGTTAGTTTGTTTGTTTGTGATATTTAGACAGGCTACGCAGTTCAGCTTCAAATGGACGCCTGTATAAACAGTAACAAGGCCAGACTACAACACGTACACATGTACATGTACACACCTTATGTAAATACTTCCAAGCTGGCCAATCAGCCAGCACAGAAAACAGTATCAACCTGTCTGGTGCACAGTCACTTAAAAATGATATTTGGTAGCCCCAATCTGCTTGACATGCCACAATTCTTTCTAGAAATGTTAACACCTTTATTATGCTATATACACAAATGTTTAAAGTTACTAATCAGCTTACCATTTTACTTCAACAGGTCCATATATTTGTGCTGAGTGGGATCTGGTAAGCTAATTTCCATGGATCAAAAATACAATTTTTACTACAATTAGCAGCATTCTTGCAATCTCAAAGTTGCTTGCAGCAATGTGTCACACAATGATCATTTTATTTCATTTTTGACATTCTTATTGTGATAAAAACATATCAACAGTGGTTCTGAGCGTGGGCTCTACTCCTATATCTACAATGATTTATGTCATCATGGTGTCAATATTTTTGTGGAGTACCCTTAAGCCAGAGGTGATTGGAAATCATTATCTCCAAAGATTTTCTGAGAAAGAAGGCTTAATGCAAAAATTTCCTCAGTGCTTTCCCTTCCACCATTGAAACTTTTTGCAAAGTGGTCATTCACATGAACTTTTCTTCTCTTTCATGTTTTTATTTGAGTGTTGTTTTTTTTTTTTGCCCCATGCTGACATGAGATTGTGATTTCAATCTGCAAGGTTTAGAAATTTTTAGATAAATTAGCAGTTCGATTCATCTATATTAGTTAATTCTTAATTGAAAAATGATAATGTCTCTGTCAATTTTCAGGGTGGCTTTCCTCCCTGGTTGCTTAGAAATTATACAACAGCAAAATTGAGATCATCTTCAGACAAAGGTTGGGGAGGAATTTTCTTTTGTTACATAGTTTGTTCGCACATAATTACCCCATTATGTTCATTTAACATGACAATTACCACTAACAATCATTCACTGATTCAGAAGTAGTTTGAGTTAAAAGTTTTAGGTTTAAGTTGTAATCAAAATGAATAATAAAATTGATTTGAATTAACCTTTTAACTCCTAAGATCTCATTAGTAATTCTCCTTACTGTCTGCTATATAGTTCTTGCAATGTTGGTTTGGAGAATTTGGCATTGAATCAACTAATAATCCCCTAATTGATCTTTTTCTTTTTTCTTGTCACTTGTCTGCTTCATAGAGTATTGATATTGTAAGGAGAAATTCTGTCTTGGTCACTCGTGGGAGTTAAAGGGTTAAGATTGAGATTAATAAGTGTTAATTAATATTGTTTTAGTATAATAACCACTCAGAAACCAAAGGATTAATTTATTTCTGTCAGGATACAGAAGAAATGGTTGTAAATTAAACTTTTGATGCACAATTTTGTTTCTGGTTGCTCAGAGGGGGTGAACAGCACATTTGCTAATCACTTCCAAACAGAACATTAGTGTGTGCAAAAACTCCTTTTCACCTGTGTGGTATATACCAATGAATTATACTTAAATTACTTTCAAAAAACCTACAAGAATTCATTTAATTGGTGCATGAAGTTGACTATCATTTACTCATATGGAGGTTAACAAATAATTATCAAAACAAACTATTCCCCCCACACCCTCCACACACACAAAAAAAGAAAAAAAACTGGAAAAAACCTGTTATTCACTTGGGTTGTCACCTGAGTACTTTGGTTTTCAGTAGAATGCCATGGTTTCAAGTTTCTAAAATTTCATTCAGTAACAGATGATGACATAATGACAGTAAAAAACAAAAAACAACACTGTTAGTGTTATTACCCTTTTGCTACCTTGAGTGACCGAGACAGAATTTCTCCTTACAATATCAATACGTTATACCAAGCAGACAAGCAATGTGATTAAAGAAAAATATAAATTAGGGGATTATAATGTGATCCAATACCAAATTCTCCAAACTTGAACAGTATAAGAGTGGCATGGTTGTAAGGAGAATTACCAATGAGATATTGGGAATTAATTTACCAAATCTAAGTCATTTAAAAGACTCTCATGACTAGATCTGTTTGTAATTTCCTGATAGGTTATATTGCTGCAGTGGATCGCTGGATGGGTGTCTTGCTTCCAAAGTTAAAGCCACTTTTGTATGCCAATGGGGGACCAATCATTGCTGTTCAGGTACCAGGCTCCATTTAAGCCATGTAATTTGACAGCTGTTGTCTATAAAGTTTTCTGCCAGTACAGAGCCCTTCCTAAGTTCTGCAACGATCGTTCTTGTAGTGATCAGGTCATTGAGGAAACTAATTACTTAAGAACAATTTAAATGCCTCCGGGTTCAAAAACTGGCCCAGCATTTTTAAATCATTCAGTCAAGCTCCACTCACAGATGGTAAAATGTGCTTTAGGATTCAAGAGGGCTCTGAGAGCTTACTTAATTAAAGATGATGGGACACCTATCACTGATGGCAAATTGCACACATTGATGATCAATATCACAAAACAGCAGCTTATAAATTTTAGTGTAAAGGTAGTCTCCTTCACAGGGGTTGTTTGGTCTCATCACACAATGCGCTCTCTTGTGTGGGGTAGTGAGTGTGTTGTGTGACAAGACCAAACAACAGCTGATCAGGAGACTTAAACCTAATGGCCTATCTGGCTAGAGCGTATCCAGGTTTCTGTAGCAAGAGGCAAACAATGTCATTGCAACCCCCTTGGATAGTATACATATTGCCAATCCAATTTGCTGGTTAACAAGGTAATTTGGTATGATCAACTGAGTTGATTTAAGAATAAATTGACCGCTGTAAAGAGTTTCAAAGGTGACATTTTGAGCATTAGCCCTTCATTATTTGCTTTGATAAAGGGCTAACACTGAAAATGTCAGCTTTGAAACTCTTTACGGTGGCCAGTTTATGTTATCAACTCAGTTGATCATACCAAATTGCCATGTTACCCTCTCTCAATGACCAAGCACCACAGTTTCTTTAGAAAGTCACCCCCTTTTGAAACTCAAAATTGCTGGTTACCTCTCAAAATTTTATATGGTCCCCTAGACAGTTGGTAGGTACTCATTTATAGTTCTGGTTAGAGATATGCACTGTCAGTATAGCCTGTGCTAATTTACTTTAGAACTCGATGTTATGACGAAGAAAAGAGTTAAGTTGGGACCTCTCATTTTATAGTCCATGCAGTGCACTGACCATTGTGCTGTTTTTATTGAGTCTACACAGTATCAAGCAAATTTCTGTGCTTGTGTGGTAGAATGACAACAGAATGAAATTTATCAGATTGAAGGACATAAAATATGAAACGTAAAGAAAATGTTTGTCGATGCAATCCATGT